TCACTAAGATGACATACTTATATAACTTACTTAACCTTTAAGAAAGATTTAGTTTCCAGAGAGATTGTATTCAAAAATCTATATTAACAATCCTGTAAGTCTAATCTGCTTATTAACTGATTTTAATAAAAAAAGTATACGGATTTAACAGAGGCGTTTAAATTACCTATCAGAGAGAATTTAAGCTATTTTTTTAGAAATTAGAATATACACAGAAATGATAATAATCATATTAGATAAGCTATAATCATACATATCTTTCTTACTTTAAATTAATATTATTTGTTGGTAAAATACGTTTTTAGGATTATTAAGTGTTATTGAGGCTTGAGTAGACTTAGAAACTGAAGAGAATGTTTAGAATAACTATGATGCAAGTATTAGAAAACGACTAAAATATTATGAAAAGGTGATTGAGAAAATGATTATTTTGGAAAATTTGTAGTTTTTTCTTTTTCACCCTTTACTTGTTAAAGGCCTAAAAAGGATATTAATTAATCGTCATTCTATCAAATAAGAAGAAAATGGGAAATTGTAATTTGTAATTTGTACTATTAAAGGATTAAAATAAAACAAAAACCTTAAGAAGTGAAATTATGCATTTTTGTTAGATTAAAATCTTCGATACTGATGATAACTACTTTTACATAATCAGCAGTTAAAAAGTTACTCATTGTAATTAATGGCATTTGAAATTTCTTATTGAATTGGTCCGGGTGGGCCGTGCCTTGTTTCTCATCTTATGTTAATGGTTTTGGAAAAAATTGACATAAAATAGAATTCATTCTGAGGTTTACAAATTAGATTTCGCTGAGTCGTACGTTTTAGATGAAAAATTTCTATATTAATTTAACTTAAATATTGCTTAATACAAACAACAAGAATTATCAATATATTCAAGTCTTATTGATTTGAGGAGAGCAGCAATCTTAAAGCTTAAAAAGTAAATATTGAAGATGAACAGTCTAACTTTCACATAATTAACTTCGATACTCAAAGATCGTGTAACTATTAAAACATTATAAAAGAATCATTAAGGAATTTAATTAGCTAGTATTATCACTTAAAGCAAATGTAGAGAAGAGAGTAATTTCTTTTCTAAAAGTGCATCTTTTTTTTTATTTTGTAAAGGCATATTAATGATAAGAATACTTATTAAATAGCAGGATTTGAAGGTAGCTTCTTATCCAATAGTATTTGCTAAAAGAAATTAAATACTTTCAAGTACAATTTTTTCTTTGGGATTAATTCTAAAGTGAAAAAATGGAATTCTTTGGACTGTCGGAAGCTTATTTGAGTGTTTATGATAGTGTCGCAAGAATGTTTTGTGACTACAACAAAGAAGATGAAGAGGGATTAGCAGAAATGGAAAAACAGTGGAAATCCTTGGACTTGAAGGAGGGAGATCCGTATTGGACGGATAACGATAGAGTACCCAGAGGGGTTCAAGTACAAACATGGTTGGAGAATATGTAAGACACATAAAAAGAATATGACTACTGAACATATGCTGAATGAAAATTTGTTTGGGGAGCCAGGAAATTGGTAAGAAAAATTCTAGAAAATACAAAATTACATCTTAGATTCTGCATTACTCACTTAAATCTAGCATCCATGGTTGAGTTTGTTATATTCTAAATTCATTGAAAATATCATGTGTATGAAGTGTCTCAAATGGAATTCAAGCTTTAATTTAAATTAAAGTAACTTTGAGAGAATTGCCAATATGCTTAATATTTAAAACTATATTGAAGAGAAAGTTATCTTGTTTATGAAAAAATAATGTTATTTTTATAAACAATAAGTGCACAATTATACTCAAACTCGATTATAGTAAAAAATTTTGTAGTACTTAAAAATTGCTATTCATTAGGTATCACAAGTAATCCATAAATTTTATACACTGATTAATACGAAAACAATTACAAAACCAATGTTGCAATCTCTAACTTTCCAAGCTATTAAGCTTCAGAATCTTAATTTCAATCTTTTCACAGCATTGAGTAATTTCGGTATTATTTTAATTTATCCTGCTAGAAAAACATCAAACTAATGGCTCAGGCTAAGTTGTCAATTTTCCTTCAAGTTGAGCCAAAAATAATTGTTATGCAAATCTCCTAGGGTTTAGACTTGATGAAACTGATGAAAATATTAGATTTATGACATTAGCCTGAAATTACAGTTGAAATTTACCCATGTAATCAATCATAAATAATGTAGGGTATACCTCAATTATATAATCAATATAACATAATGATTTTTTATCAATGATCCTTAATTTAAACTAGCAATATTCAAAGGAGTCATTTAATCTTGATTTTTTTATTAGA